GAACATAGCCAAAGCAAAGGTAAATTAAGAAGAAATTATCTGACTTTTTTACGCTTCCTTAGAGTAAAAAAAAAAAAAAAAAACACTCTCCAGTAAACGATGTTTTTTGTTTTGTTAATTCAAGACCAATCTGGAGAAAATGTGTCGCACTCTTGAAGATCAACTGAGTGAGATGAAAACCAAAAATGATGAGCATGTGCGGCAGCTAAATGACACTGGGATACAAAAGGCCAGACTGCAAACAGAGAATGGTGAGAATATAATATATCACTGTTAAAATTACTTCTTGTTTCAATCTACTTTTTTTTTTTCAACTTTTTCAAATCTTAGGTGAAATCAGCCGCCAGTTGGAGGAGAAAGAAGCTCTGATCTCACAGCTCACACGCAGCAAGCAGGCCTACACCCAGCAGACCGAGGAGCTTAAGAGGCACATTGAAGAGGAAGTTAAAGTATGTCCTCATTAACAGTGTTGTCTGACAGATACTAGAGGTCTAAGTCAATTCTGCAAAATTAAACAAAAAATGTATTCACTTCCCCACAAGGCCAAGAACGCCCTGGCTCACGCTCTTCAGTCGTCCCGCCATGACTGTGACCTCCTCAGGGAGCAGTACGAGGAGGAGCAGGAGGCCAAGGCTGAGCTGCAGAGAGCTCTGTCCAAGGCCAACAGCGAGGTGGCGCAGTGGAGAACCAAATATGAGACTGATGCCATTCAGCGAACTGAGGAGTTGGAGGAGGCCAAGTAATGGAGGAGGCCAGAAATTGAAAACAGTCACACGTGCATTTCATTTTTCACCTGTTATTAACCTACATTCTTGGTACTTACCAGGAAAAAGTTGGCTCAGCGTCTCCAGGACGCAGAAGAAGCCATCGAGGCTGTGAATGCAAAATGTGCTTCACTGGAAAAGACCAAGCAGAGGCTGCAGGGTGAAGTGGAGGATCTGATGATCGACGTGGAGAGAGCTAACGCTCTGGCTGCCAACCTGGACAAGAAGCAGAGGAACTTTGACAAGGTTTGATTTTTGTTACTGTTTTAAGCTGTAAACAAACATTTCTGAATTCTGGACAAAAAAAAACTCAAAACATACGATGGGGCTTGTGTTCTTTAGGTCCTTGCAGAATGGAAGCAAAAGTATGAAGAGAGCCAGGCGGAACTGGAGGCAAGTCAGAAAGAAGCTCGTTCTCTCAGCACTGAGATGTTCAAGCTGAAGAATTCATATGAAGAATCTCTGGATCATCTGGAGACTCTGAAGAGAGAGAACAAGAACCTGCAACGTATGCTGTGTTATTTAAAATCCACTGCATTCACAGAGACACTGACCAAATAATGTAGAAGTTTGTGTAATTTAATTGGTTTTATTTGTCGGTGTTTTTCCAGAGGAGATCTCTGATTTAACTGACCAAATTAGTGAGAGCGGAAAAACCATCCACGAGTTGGAGAAAGGGAAGAAGACTGCAGAATTAGAGAAGTGTGAACTTCAAACTTCACTGGAAGAAGCTGAGGTTAGGACTTGACAAAATGTATTTCACATAATCAGTCATGCACAAGATCTCCAACGTAGGTGCAACTTCTCTGCAGGCCACACTGGAGCACGAAGAGTCCAAGATTCTCCGTATCCAGCTGGAGCTGACCCAGGTGAAGAGCGAAATTGATAGGAGACTCGCGGAGAAGGACGAGGAGATGGAGCAGATCAAGAGGAACAGCCAGAGAGTGATCGAGTCCATGCAGACCACACTGGACGCTGAGATCAGGAGCAGAAATGATGCACTGAGAGTCAAGAAGAAGATGGAGGGAGACCTGAACGAGATGGAGATTCAGCTGAGCCACGCCAACCGCCAGGCCGCTGAGGCTCAGAAACAGCTGAGAAATGTTCAAGGACAGCTGAAGGTACGGAAAGATATGGAATATATCTTCAGGTCAGATGGAGTTCACTACTTTAAGACCACGTCACGAATGTGTTTCATTTTCTCCTCAGGACGCTCAGCTGCACCTGGACGAAGCCATAAGAAGCCAGGAAGACATGAAGGAGCAGGTGGCCATGGTGGAGCGCAGGAACAACCTGATGGTGGCCGAGATTGAAGAGCTGAGAGTCGCACTGGAGCAGACGGAGAGAGGCCGCAAGGGGGCCGAGCAGGAGCTGATTGATGCCAGTGAGCGTGTGGGACTGCTGCACTCTCAGGTGACCTCAGATCAGATGACAAAAAAATGTTTATTTTTCTGTTTTATGTACAGTTAAATAATTCCATATTGACTTTTCTCTGCAATAGAACACCAGTCTTATCAACACCAAGAAGAAGTTGGAGACCGACCTGGTCCAAATTCAAGGAGAAGTAGAAGATGCGGTTCAGGAAGCAAGAAACGCTGAAGAAAAGGCCAAGAAGGCCATCACTGATGTGAGTCGACATTAACTTGGAGACAGTTCCTAAAAGCAATCCAAATACTCACAGTGGTTGTGTCTCAGGCTGCCATGATGGCTGAGGAGCTGAAGAAGGAGCAGGACACCAGCGCTCACTTGGAGAGGATGAAGAAGAACATGGAGGTGACGGTGAAGGACCTGCAGCACCGCCTTGATGAAGCTGAGAATCTGGCCATGAAGGGCGGCAAGAAGCAGCTCCAGAAACTGGAGGCCAGGGTAAAGATGAATTGGGTTTTTTTTCTTCTTTGTTGTTTCGTGTTTTCGTCTTTGGCCATAACAGCAGTTTTCTTAAATTACAGGTGCGTGAGCTTGAGAGTGAGGTGGAGTCTGAGCAGAGACGAGGAGCAGAGGCTGTGAAAGGAGTGAGGAAGTACGAGAGAAGAGTGAAGGAGCTCACATACCAGGCCAGTGCTGTTGTCATTAGTTAATAATTTACAAGATGTTGATGCATGTTTATAATTTATTTGCATTTCCATCACTCTGCAGACTGAGGAGGACAGGAAGAACATCAGCAGACTCCAGGATCTGGTGGATAAACTTCAGATGAAAGTGAAGGCCTACAAGAGACAGTCTGAGGATGCTGTGAGTTCACAACATCAACACTGCAATAAAACCATAAAACCAAGAAGATGAAAGAAATAAACTGATCAACACTGAGTCAAATCCTTGTATGTGGTTCACAGGAGGAGCAGGCCAACACTCACCTGTCCAGGTACAGGAAGGTCCAGCACGAGATGGAGGAGGCCCAGGAGAGAGCTGACATCGCCGAGTCCCAGGTCAACAAGCTGAGGGTCAAGAGTCGGGAAATTGTCAAGGTAACTACGGTATGTGAGATTGCATGAATGTCTAACGTGTAACATTTGAGTTTTCTGAACAAAATATTAAAAAAAAAAAAATCTTTTTGGTTTTTTTTTTCAGATCAAGGAAGCAGAGGAGTGAAGGGAACAGTAACAAACAGTAACAAGTCCTTATAAAATATAGGGATCTGTTGTGTTTAGCATGTTAAGCATGTTTATCACATTGTCAGTGACTGACTCAAATAAATAAAAGTAGATTTTGCTGCATCTTCTTTTCTTGTTGTGTCTTTTAAAACAAACAAAAATAATAACAGTCTTGTCTGAAAACCAGTCTTTTGTTGGTAGTTTTAGTATTTCTGAATGTGCATCCCAAAAGACAAATAAAAAAAAAAATCAAAAAGCTTAATATAAAACTCAAAATGATTCTAAATTCACCCCGACTTCATTTACTAGATGAAATGGTAAAAAGATTAGGAGCAGAAGGGCATTTCCAAATAAGTTTTTTAAACACTTGACAATTAGAAATAACAAGTAATGAAGGGGACATTAAATAGAGAGAGTTTCCCTCCTCCCTTTTGGGGGGAGAGTAGGGTGGGAGGCATGTGTGGCCCGTGGCTCCACTCATCACTTTGGGGGGGTATGATGGGAGGCATGTGTGGCCCGTGGCTCCATCCTCAGTCATTTTTCTAAGCCAAATATCGTAGTCATTAAATGCGGATAGCAAACGTATAGGTCTTTGGATTTCAATGAACTATACTGCCATCTGCAGGTCACTGTATGCTACCAACGTAATCACACTTTTATTCCAAACTTTTAAACTACTATATTTATGTTATTTATTGTTTCTAAAGTGGGTAACTAATGTCACAGTTGAAATTAAAATTAAGATAGAAACAGCAACAAATATTTAAAAACTGAAAAAAATTAAACCTTTGTAAATATACAGTATATACAGTAACAGAGACACTTTGGTAGATGATTACATCAAAAGTAACATCTGAAAATATAGCTACAACTAAGCAGGAAAAAAATATTTTTAACTGGCAAAAATGATTGGTATGGCTTGAAAATAAAGAGACAGCGTTGGGGGCGTGGAGCTAATGGAGGGGGGGGGCACAGCAAAGGCAAAGACCAAAAACATGTGACACCTCGACTTAGTTCTGATGCAGACATTGTACGAAGGAAGGGGGTCTGCAGAAGATATTTGAAAATCACGGCTGTACTAATCTGCGAACGCGTGTTTAGGCCAGCAGAGGTCAGCATTGCACGGTGGACAATCTGTTTCTGTCAAGTGGGGGGTAGGGGAAGGATGACGTCGTTGCTGGGGGGCTTATAAACAACCAGTGATGTCCGGTTCTGTTTACTAATGCGTGTCTGCCGTTAAAACGATACGTTTTCTAACCCAGACGACGGTGTCTGTCGTCACTGGATCCGTTTTCTAAGAGGATTTCCGCCGTGGTTTCTGATGCGCACTGCGCCTCGTTGACACTGCAGTATCTCCTGCTGCAGCATCTGGACCAGGTCTGCACCACAAACAGAGCCATGCGTCCCCACTGAGGCTCAGGTCCTCGAGGGGGATTTTTTTTTCGTTTTGACCATGCAAAAATCTCTGGTCATTTTCAGCTGCGCAGCGATTTTGCGTAGTGAAGACCGGCGTCAGCGGTCGAGTGTGCTAACCTGAGCACCTGTGAGTGTTTAACGCGGATTGTTTTTTTTGTTTTTTTTTGCTTCGTCAGATGGACTTTACCGCAGGAGAAAGGTCAAACCACCGAGTCTCTCTTAACAGAAAATGAATGAGGGACAGGAAACCTCGGATGCCGAGGACACGACTCGCTCCAGGAGCACGACCTTGTCCCCGCCGCGGCCCCCGGGCCTCTCTGAGCGGCTCTCCTGCCCTAAGAACAGCGTGTGTTCCCGCTCCTACTTCGTGTTGGTGATGGTGTTTTTCCACGTTTACATCATTAATGTCATAGCGCTGCTGTTTTACGTGCACTACAGCAGCAGCAGCGGCGGGCAGGACAACGGCAGTCAGAGTCGTGACGCCCCAAGCGGTCACCACCAGCAGCGACCCGAGTCTGCACAGAAACCACAGTTACTACGAGATGTTCCCCTCACCAGGATCGAGGGAATCAGAGTGAGTACAACGGTGTGCTTCATCACCATGACAACCTACAACCTATTCACTCCACCACACAGTCACTCACACTCGCTGTGATTTGTCTTTCAGGTGGGACATGTGCAGAGAGTTGCACTGGTGCCGGGGAAAGTGCATGAAATGCGGACCCTGAGTCTAAAACCTCTGTTGTTTGGTGAGAGACGAGTGGATAATATAGAAAAAAAAACAGTTAAATAATAATCAGAAAATATAGAAATATTTATGCATGCGCAATATTTTTTGTTATTGTTTATAAACACAGAGCATGCAGTTCCGCCACAGTCCACTGGTCCAAGGTTACTCTTTTTCTGCAGCTAAATCATTATTTTTTTCATCAACTAAAAGTTGTAATTTAAAATAATTTGAAAAAAATTTAAAAGCAGCAGTAAAATATAAAGGAAATGAGGTTGAAGTTCAAGTCAGGATTGTAAAAGTAAATATAGTTCTGCTGCAGTCAACATCCATCATCCAACATCCAACAACTGACCCATTTAGGACCGTGCTGATTGGTTCCCTGAACACATCATTACCTGAAAATTTTCCATACAAATACATCACATTACTGTATGCAATCTCTACTGTAATGCAGCTCCTCTTAAATCTTTGCAACAAAACTGACTAGTACAAAATTGCAAAAAGAAAATAGAAAAAAAAAATCAGGAAAAAAATCTGTAGCATTATAATGATAATAAAGGTGATAATAAATGTTTTTTTTTGCAGAGATTCCTGGGTTTCTGTCAGAGGATGAATGTCGTGTTGTGAAGCAGCTGGCGCAGCTAAAGGGTCTGATGGAAAGTCAACTAATGGTACAAGATGGTCAAGAAGATCTGGCCAAGGAGCTCAACCTCAGTCCAGAGGAGATATTCAACCTTCTGGATATCAACCAGGACGGACAGCTGCAGCTCCACGAGGTATACGTCAGCCCTGATCTTTAATTAAAACACAATCCAACCTCCTACAGAGCCACTGACCAACAGAAGAAAAATGCCCTTTTCTCCACTTTGTGATAAATAATGAAAATATTGTAGCTGAACATCTGTTGCCTAGTTGCAGACCTCCTGTAATAGCCCCTTATTTTGAGAACCACTGGCCTACAAAGTTCCATGCATTAAGCCAAGATTGTCAAATTTTGTCAAAAAATTGTCAAAGCTAGAAATAATAGCATCATTATCTTATGAAATATTGAAAAGTTTTTTTTTTTTACCAGTGATTGACTATAAACTTAATTATAGAAAATTCATCCAGTATTTTGGATGAGAGTTCTGAAAACCCCTGCTGACTACTTGTGGTACTGCAACCCCAACAGCTATTCTACAAGGCTTTGAAATTGAGACTCCACCCACTGTTTATAATCTGTTTCTGTGGTCAGCTGTAGCTGTGCCCTGATACTCAAAGTACGTGTCTTTGTTTCCACACCTTTGAAAGATTCTGACTCACTCCAGAGTAAGAGACGGCATCTGGCTGACACCAGAGAACCTGAGAGAAATCTACGCTGGGCTGAAAGTTGACAAGAACGACGATGGTAAGAATAGAGATTATTGTTTGATTACCAATAATAGTACATGAATGTTAAAACAATTACTACGTTTGAAATAAAAATTGGACACCAAATTGAAACTCGTGAAATCTAATTCCTACTGTAGAAATACTGTCTCGGAGCTCTGACTAAAGTGCTATAAACTTTTTTTTTTTTTAAACATTGCACAGGATTGCTGAGTCTGGAGGAGTTCAGGCTTCTGAGCAGCGACGCCTTTCAGCGCTTCCTGCTGCAGCGAGGGGTCAAGAGGAGTCAGTTGGTGAGAAACAGCAGACACACGTGGCTCTACCAGGGCAAAGGAACTCACCAAGTTCTCCAGGACATCAAGTCCAGGTACAGTAAGAAGAACTTCACATTCTAAAACATAAGTCGTCCGTACGACACCACCTGACCAACGACTGACTTCTTTACAATTCCTTTGTCTGTCCGTTAAAGGGTGACTCGTCTCACCCGTCTCCCACCCACGTTAGTGGACCTCAGTGAGCCCCTCCAGGTGGTTCGCTATGAGGAGGGGGGGCACTACCACGCCCACCACGACAGCGGCCCTGTGTATCCTGAAACCGCCTGCACACACACACGACTTGTGGCCAACACCTCTGCACCTTTTGAGACTTCTTGCAGGTGAGACACAATTTTAACGACAACGAACGAATCCACAGACATCAAACATAGACGTGGACGCCCGAGTCCAACTGTCCTGCGTGGTCCTACAACAAGCTGACGTGATAGTTCGTTTGACTTCATGTTGTCAAGATTTGTAATGATAATTATATAAATAATAATATTATATAAATTATACAGCATTGCTGTGATACAAATATTTGACAAATTTTGAAAAATTAAATTATCCAAGAAATCAGTCTAAATTGTTCCAAAGTCCAACAGCAGGTCCCTGCTTGATAAGTTAATTTGCCGCCCTGAAGTGTGTGTATTTTTGTTTGTGTGTTTTATGTGGTTGTGCGTGTGTATATATATAGTTGCACCATATGTGTGTGTGTCAAATTAAATCTGTGTTGCACACTTAGGTACATCACAGTTCTCTTCTACCTGAATTCTGTTGAGGGGGGCGGGGAGACCGCATTCCCCGTGGCAGACAACAGGACCTATGATGAAGTGGTGCGTAACTGTGTGTGGGTCTGGAACTGTTTTTCTCCACACACCACTGTCTAAGTACTGTTTACATACTCTGCATGTCCCTGACGTCCGTGTGAGTTCTGTTGTTTGTCACCGTGTGCTTTTATGTCCTGACGTTCAACGAAACCTGTTGGTGAATTTGACCGTGTCTTTTAGTCTCTGATACAGAACGACGTGGACCTGCTGGACACCAGGAGACACTGTGACAAGAGTAACCTGAGAGTGAAGCCCACACGGGGCACAGCCGTGTTCTGGTACAACTACCTTTCTGATGGAAGAGGTGGGATTCACAAACAGTAAAATATGAAGAAATTAAGACATAAACATTTAAACATATAATCCTAGTGTTCTCAAACCAAGGCTTGTGTATCACAAGTGGCTCTCTTCAGTGGTGTGCAGGGTTAATGTGATGCTCATTAATGTCAGGTGAATCACTACATGTAGTAATGTGTTAAAAAAAACATTCATTCTCCATTTGTCAAGAAGAGAAAACTTTCTTCTCCTCTGAAACTTTTTTCCTTTTTTGTAAATGTTTGAAAATTCTAATCACCTAATCTATTAATGTGAGCAAATTAGAGCTAAGAAATGGTACAGACAGATGCTGCTTTAAATGTTAACAGATTCTGTGCAGTGTGCTATAAAAAAAGTCATCAGTTCTAATTTTTAACTAAGTAAATCCAAGTTAAAATCTAGATCAAATAATCACTTAAATATATATTTTTTAGGCAGAAACTGACCAACTTAATAGTCGTCAAATGAAAAAAAAAAATACTGTACATCAGTTCAGTCAAGTGTGGTAATCATAAAGCATAAAACAAAATTCCACTTAAATCAGAAATATTAAAAAAAAAAATCTACTGTACATCAGCTCAGTCAAGTGTGGTATTCATAAAGCATAAATCAAAATTCCACTTAAATCAGAAATATTACTCAGTAATATCACAGCAACACACTGTATATGATGGCCAAAAATCATGTTCCCTACAAACCATTTGATAAACGATGCTTATATACTGTATATGTTATCAGGTTGGGTTGGAGAGCAGGACGAATATGCCCTACATGGAGGCTGCGTGGTCACCAAGGGCGTTAAGTGGGTCGCAAATAAGTGGATCAACATCGACCCGGACTACGCTCGACAGGCGCGCTATGAGCAGCTCGTGTCACAGCAGCCGGAGGAGGAGGAAGAGGAGGAGGAGGATGAAGGTCTGACTTTGAACACTGACATACAGAGTTCAGACATCCATCAAGACCTGTAGCTTTACAAAAAAAACAAGTTTATACATAGAGTAAGTTTGGAGACGTCTTCCTTCAGTCGTGTGCACAACATTTTTTGGTGACACCCTCTGTGACTGGTGTGTAGATAAACCTATTCAGGGAATGGAGTCACAGTGAGTTTATGCAACAGCGAGGAGATTTTAAGTTAAAGGTTTGTTTGTATTTTTTTTTTATAGTATAGTTTTTGTTTTGTTTTTTTAATTTGTCCAAAAAGTGTGTTTGCCCAAAAAGTATGTTGCACTAGAAACCTGTCAATCTTGCATGTTTCAGTTTCACAGGGTTTGCTGTTGTGAGAAGCAGAAATTGCACTTGAGAAAATTGAAAGAGCTCCAGTAAAAAACATTTGAATGCACTACCTTGTTACTGCTTTCTGTTAGTGTGATGCATGTTGTCTTGTTTCAACTCAATTCTCACATTCGTCCGATTAGAAACACACTATCTGATTGTAGCTTCAGTCTTTATTACGATTCCCTTCCAATATGCACTGTCACGCATTCAAACAGAATAAAGTTCAGTTATTTTAAAAATTCTTCTTGTGATGGTTTTTTTGTCGTTGTCGATCGGTAAAGTCCTCAGAGTTTAGTGCTGCTGTGCAGGTCCTGAAACCAGAACCATTTCACGTAAACTGACAGTGATGATAATCAGCTGTCGACTGACTGAAACTGGGTATTGACTGTTAACACTGCGATCAGGTTGTTTACACTTTGTCTGCCATGACTCGACAGCTGAAATAAAACCTGATACGGTCGTCTGACCACTCACCACTGACGTCTCATATCTGGAGACTGACGTCGCCCCTCGGTGGTTCAGGCAGTACAGCACAGCATCGTGAACAGAAGCGAAGAGATGTTTTTTGGTTATGGTCTCAGAGAAGAAGTCGCCGCGTTCTAACTGCTCCACCACAGAGGCTGAAGGAAAACAACAGTTAGACAGAATCTGTAGCCTGGAGAAAAATAAAGAAAACATTCACTCACCTTGACAACCAGCCACGTAGATATCTACGTCGATTTCACTGAAGTCCTGGAAAATCTGTCATAAAAAACAAGGTACCATAAATCACTATAAAGAACAGGTAAGACTTTGTGCACAGATACTTGTGGTGTTTTAATACCTACATTTTTGATTGTCTTAGTCGCCACCGTGTCAATGAAATTTGCAGTGGACATGTCAAGAATGATGGAGTGAATGTCCCACGTCCACTTGCCCAGAGATCCGAGAGAGACCCGCTCCAGGTCACGGCTCAGAGTGTCCTCACTGCTGGAGGCCAACGTGGTGGTGTCGCCCTCCTGCAGGTCAGACAGCCAGCTCAAACTGGTGGAATCCGGTTCTCCTCCTTTCAGGTACTCCCATCTACAGGGGCTGTCCAAGAGCTGAGGGGACGTGGGGATGACAAACACCGTGCCGTTCTCTCTCTCGGTCCAGACCTCCGTCTTGTCTGCGTCATCCTCACTCAGGCCGGTGTCGTCCCAGTCTGCATCTTGCTCCACGGAGAGCACAGGTACACCGGACAGTTGTCCAGCTGCGCTCTGTGCTCGTCTCTGAGTCAGACAAAGAAGAATACTGATGTTACTGTTTGGTACACTTCCACGGGGCTCAAATACAAACATGACAAGTATTTCTGTGTGTGTGACCTCTCTCCTGGCCTGCCTCTTGGCCCGTCTCTTTGCCCTCCTTTCCCGGCGTTTCTGTTTGGCCTCCTGCCGCCTCTTATAGATGATCATTTTACTGATGTCCAGTCCACTCTGGAGATATTAAACAAAGAAGATGATGTCACCATGAAACAAGAAAAGACGAGGCTTAAACTATGAAATGAAACAAACCTTTTCCTTCAGTGCTTCGAGGTAAAGCTCAGCATTGGCAAAATATACTGTTGCACTGGAGCGAAAAATAGTAATGCCTGGAATCTCTTTGGCCTGATGGACAGAGAAAAATCCTCATCATTTCATCCTTGCAGCCGGTTTGCCAAAAAAAAAAAAACTTACCTCTCTATGAGTCTTAGCCGGTTTGCCAAAAAAAATAAAAAAATACTTACCTCTCTATGAGTCTTCTCTGTGTGTCTCAATATCCAAGTACAGCTCAGTACCCGGAACATTTCCAAGAACTGAGTATGTGGGCCTAGGAGTGAAATAAAAATACAGACGTAAGGTTTGCTGTGTGTCTGTTAGATAATCCAAACTCTGCAGTGTGAAATAAATATATGCTGCTGATTCTTACATCTGAGTTCTGAATATAACTGTAAGCAGAGCAAAGAGAACGGAGGCTACAAGACCCAGGTCCAGATTGAGGAGCAGTGTTGACACCCATGTGACCAACCACACAACCTGAGTGGAATATACAATATGACAATATCATTCTTGAAAACAACACATGCTTTCCAGATTCACCGCAGCTACAAAACTATCTGAATTTTTTTTTAATTAATAGTAATAAATACTAATTATTCTCTCACCAAATCAATCTTGTTGCGTTTCCACAGCACAGCAATGTCAGCGTGCTGCTTGAACATTCCCTTCAGATTTACAAACACGATGACTGCCAGCACAGCCTGAACATGAAGGGGAAAAATGTAACACAAACATGAGAAATAGTGAATGTTTTTTTTATAATTAAAATTCTCTGATTAGACAGAACCTTCGGTAGCTCCTGGAACAACGGTCCAAGTTTCAGTATGGTGACCAGCACAATTACAGCTGAAGCCAGTCCAGCCATCTGCAAAAAAATAAAATAAAAAAATAGACTTTTTGTCATTTTTAGAATATTTTGTAGGAAATAGGAAGCTGCAATATTTTTTTAAAATATGTTTTCATATCAATTCATATTAGCAAAATTTGATTATATAATACGTCTACTGACATCTGTGTAGGTTCTCCATCATCAGGGTACTACAAAGTTTACTGAACTTGAATTCTTAACATTGTTTACAAATTTAAAGGTGGCCTTTAAATCTGCTCTGATTTCCTTCACCTGTGTTTTCCCCCCTGTCGTCTCCTGGATCAGACTTCGAGACATTGATGCACAAACAGAGAAGCACTGAAAAAAGCCTCCGGCAGAATTACTGAGACCCAGTGCGACCAGTTCCTGCAGCAGTGCAATGTAACAAGGACACAAACAGGAAATAACCAGAGGAATACACACGTTATTTGAAAAAAATGAATATATATATATATAATAAATATTATATAAAATATATATATTTCTTTAAAGTACCTGGTTACTATCCACTTTGTATCCATGTTTTAGGGCAAATGTTTTTCCAAGAGAAATAGAAATTGCATAACCAACTATGGCCAGTGCAAAAGCATCACCCAGAACCTCTCCAAAAACACTCACATCTGGAACACTGGGGGCACTCAACCTGTCAGAAAAAGATCGAGACCACCAGCTCTGTCAGCATCTAATGACAAAAGTGATGAGAAGGCAACAAATCCAAATACGTACCCACTAGGAATTTCTCCTACAACTGGGACAGTGTAGTTGTTGTTCAAGTTGGCATAGTTTGATATCAGCGTTCCTGCCACGATCTAAAGGAATCATCAAAACAGAGCACAAAAAACATGAAAATGTAGTTTTTCCCAAGCACATTTAAACCTTTCAATGATTATAAACGCTGGTAAATCATTCTGTCAAGTGTGAATGTAATTATTAGCTATTAGGATCAGCATTTTGCTGAGGACTGCAGTCACACTGAGGCCCCTGTGCTACTGCTGACTGTGCAGATTTTCTGTGCGGAAACATTACCGTAGTCAGAGAGAAACATCACTGAGAAGAGAGAGAATGTATTTTCCACTTACTGTTATGAGTTCCACTGGAATGGGCACGGGCAGTTTGGGACTGAGGAAGGAGTTGAGCTCCTTGGCTGCAATAAGAAACACCATGGACACAGCACTGACCACAACAGTGGGAAGATGAGTCTGTGGCAGCAGGCGGCAAACATCTATCAGAGTCTGGAAATGTGGGACGATGAAACAATGGTGACATTTTATACGGTCGTTGGATAAAGAAACCTGATGTATTTAAATACTAGGGCTGTCAAAGGATGAAAATGTTTAATCTGATAAATCCCAAGGTAGTTTTGGATTAATCACAATTGTTCTACGGTGACAGAAATAACATTTTAATTACTTTACAGCCCTAAAAATATGCAAGCTAGAGCAGAATCCACCGCCCAACAGTACTCACATACACCAGTGACAGAGGTCCACTGAATCTTGTCGGTGAAATTCCAAAGATGTACTTGAGTTGGGCCACGACGGCGTGTCCTGCTGCAGCTGTTGTGTAGGCTCGGACCAAAGGCTCAGACAGGTATGTCCCTACAAATCCAAACTTTACCAGACCCAGCAGCACCTACGTAAACACATTTATGTAAACAGGAGTATGACAACTGTAAGAAAATAATTAGGAGTTATTTTTTTTGTGTTTAATTGAGATCTTACCTGGATGAGTCCTCCTAACAGCGTGGTAGCAGCTGCCACCTGCACCCTGTATGCGTCCCGGGCAGAGATGTCCAACTCTGCCGTCACGTTTGTTCCGTTCCTTCTGAAAAAATCCACATCTGGAGCAAGTCTTTCGGTCACGCTGCCCACCATGATGCTGAGCACGGTGAATGTCCCTGAAACACGGTGAAATACAGCATCAAATTGTTGCAGACATTTCGTAATGGCCACAGGCAGGAGTGTATAAAGTCTCAGTCTGTGTATTACCTATGGAGATGTGACGGGAGGTTCCAAAAAAGAAGTAGATTAATGTTGGATAGAGGGATGAGTAGAGTCCAAACACTGGAGGTAAAGAAGCCAACAGCGCATATGCCATACCTGTAGAAGACAAGAGAAGAGTTAAATCTGTGTCAGTTCAGATGTTTGTAACGTGCGACTGACTGTGGTAAACCTGTACCTTGAGGCAGGTGCATGATGCCCACACTGATGCCAGAAACGAGGTCTGGCATACCGTAGTCCCAGACGGAGTATTTAGGCAGCCAGTACAAAATAGGAAGACTGCTCATCAGACTTCTTTTCAGCCTAGGAACTCTACATCTGTAAAGAAGGACAGCTCACGGTCAAAGGTGAACACAGGGTGGACGTCACATTCAGAAAAGCTTCTAAAAATGTTTACCGTAAAGATTCTTTCAACCGTTCTGTGAGAGAATACTTGATCTCAGAATGGGCTTTTCTCTGCGTCACTTCTTCCAGTCTCAGCTCATCCAGTACTTCTCTCTCCACTCTGTATTTCCCACTCCTGTTTGTAGAGTCCATCAGACTGAATCCAAAAACTCACAAAGTATATGTCTGGATATGTTTTTTACCAAAGTTTGCGTCCACAAAGATGTTTGTTTCCACATCTACTGTGACGGGGTGGCAGCTGTGGAACATGTGCATATGTATACTATACCACCTAATGGTTAACTAGAGACAGGATGTTGTGGACACAGCACTTCATGACAATAGCTGCTGACCAGGATAAGGAAAGAGTAAAATGATGGAGTCACAGGAGGGGAAAAAAGGCTTTTTTCCATTTGCTTGCAAAATTGTGAGGCTAATGAATCACAGAAGACACAACATTCAGTCACGTTTTAAAGGCTTTTCCCCCCTGACAAATAATCAAGTCAATCAAGTCAAGTCATATACTTGAATTAAAAAAAAACATATAAAAAAAACAATAGAGACATAACAATCAGAAGGAAAACAAAATTTAAAAAACAATGTTTTTGTGAACTATGTGAACCATGTGAACATGAACAACCACTGGGCCTTTAAGGGGGCAACATCATGAAATATGAGAACCAGCTGGCGTGGTCATTTACCTCACACCAGGGCAGTGTGTACACAGGAGTGATGCAAACAAACTTCCATTAAGAACTGGTCCACAACAAGAATTATTTATTGTAAAAGATTCCAGTTATTGTAAATATTGACGCGATTCACTAGTTTCACTGTCATTGTCGGGGAAAAAAAAAAATTTATTTGAACCTGAGACCTTCAGACCCCTTGCTCCACTTTCGGCCACAACACTGTCTATTTTTGGATCGGTGGCTCAGAGGGCCATGACACTGAGGGGGGTGGGGGGGTAATCGTTGTTTTTAATGTTTGGGCAGACACTTTCTTACTGACCGTCGCATGAGGCAACATTAACACATATACAGAAAACCATGGATATTGCAGCAGAAGACAAGCACTGACTTTGGTAAGACATAGAAAAGACATGAGAGACATGTTGTGTAACGCATGGACAATTGTTAACGTGTAAATCACCGTCCTGGTGCTATTAGACTGTTGAGGCTCATGGAGTCTTTGGCAGCTGTTGATATACTGTATTTATGTTCGTGTAGTTACTTGTTGGTTTGACTTTGTTAAAGCATCAAAGATATTTAAAGATATTAACAACTTTTCACTATTAATTAAAAAAAAAGACAAGCAAGTTGATGAAAAGAAAAAAAATCATAAACCGCTAAAGTGAGGGGATTCCCCCCCCTGCCATAAAGAAGGTTCCAGGTTCCAATCCTAGGTTCAAAACTGTACCAAATTGCTACACAGATTACTGATGTAGCAAATGTCTGATGAAGTGATTAACAAAAGTGATTATGACTATAATCAGCTCAATAAACCACAGTCATGGCACCATCTTAACTTTCTTTTTGGTTTGTTTTTCAGATATCACCATTCACCTCGTTTTGTGTGAGAACATTAGGAGATTCCACTGATACTTTGGAATTACTTACCACTAAAGGTTGGAGAAAAATGGACCTGAGAGCCAAACATGGTCTGGTCCTGTTGGACCAGCTGAGGCGGATGAAGGAGAGCGAGCATCTCACAGACGTGGTGCTGGTGGCCGAGGGCATCAGCTTCCCCTGTCACAGGGTGGTCCTATCTGCCTTCAGCCCTTACTTCCGTGTCATGTTCACCTGCGGCCTACGTGAGTGCAACAACAGGGAAATCATCCTACGCGACACCCCTGCGGGGAGCCTCGCTCTTCTCCTGAACTACATGTACTGCTCAGATCTTCCTCTGACCAACTCCAACGTCCAGGGGGTCTCTGTCGCAGCGTTTCTCCTGCAGATGGATGACATCTTCATCCGCTGCCAGCAACACATGACAGAAAACATGGATGCCTCCAACTGCCTCGGAGTATATTACTTTGCCCGGGAGCTTGGTGCAGAGGACTTGGCTGACCGTGCACAACGCTACCTCAGGCAAAACTTTGTCCAAGTCTGTGAAAACGAGGAGATCCTGGACCTGGAAGCCCACCAACTTGGAAAGCTGCTGAGCTCTGATGACCTCAATGTTTCCCAAGAGGAGACGATCCTGGACGTGGTCCTTCGCTGGGTCAGACACAGTGCACTGACAGATGGAGAGGTTCGTTCTGTGCACCTGCCAGAACTTCTAAGGAAAGTCCGCTTGCCGTTGATAAGTGCCAAATATCTAAAAGAGGCTTTAAAGAAAAACACAGCCCTCCTGGCGCAGGCTGAATGTTTCGATATGATCAATGAAGCCATAGAGGTCACGGCAATGCATCCCTCTGCTGCACCTCGGAAACTGAAGTTGCGTTATGGCATGGAGACAACAGAACTGCTCCTTTGTGTTGGCAACGATGGTGGTGGAATACGGTCAAGGTACAGCAACTTCTCCGAGCGCAGCTTTTGCTACGCCCCGGCCACCGGGCGGATCTATTACATCTCTTCCCCTCGGTACGGTCAGGCTCTGGGCTATGTTGGTGCTGGGGTTGTAACTCAGAAAAATCACGTTATTGTAGCAGGAGAGGCAGGCGTGCGCAGAATGGCAAGACAGAAGGTCATGAACATTGAAATATACAGGTAAAGCAGACACAAAATTAGACATTTTACACATTTGTCAGTTGTCTGGCCCACACATGGTACTTATTGTGATTGTGGGTTGCAGGTACAAAGTAGAGGCCCAGGGAAGCTGGGAGCACCTGACATCAGCAGAGTACCGTGATTCCTACGCACTGGGATCACTGGGTGACACGCTGTACCTGCTGGGTGGAGAGATGAAGCTGAAGAATGAGTTTCTCATCACTAACTGCGTTGAGCGATGGTCTCTGCAGGGCGGACCCTGGAGGAGCGCGGCCCCTCTGCCCATACCACTAGCCTTTCACAGTGCTGTCTCAATAAATGATCGCCTTTATGTGATGGGAGGACGGACTCCGCAGGTGAAGTTAAAGCATTATTAGATTTAGTTTTGGTAAAATTTAGAAACCACAAAAATTTAATCTTTTATCTATATATTTCTACTTCTCTCCGTCGTCTCCGTGGCCCCCTCCCATTTTAACCCTACAGTCCTACCGGATGGATGATGAGCCCAACCGTCTTAGCAACCGCCTTTTTGAGTATGACTCAAACACAAACAGCTGGACAGAACTAGGTCCTATGAGGTATTCAAAGTATCGCTGCAGCACTGTGGTATTCCACGAGGAAATATACGTCATGGGTGAGTATGCTAATGGACTTTTGGAAATTGTTTTGGTTGTAAAAAAAATAAATTTGTGTATCTGTAGAAACTACATAAATTCATAAATAAATTTGGGATCGAGTACGAGCTATACTGCTGAATAAACTGTACGCAAACTTTGTAAAAAAATAAAAATAAAAGACTAGTTTGATGAAGACAATATTTAGCATTTCTTTTTCAATCTATAGGAGGTATCGGCTGTGAAGGAGTGGACCGAGGGCAATCGCGTCATTGCCTGGACGCTGTGGAAATCTACAACACAGTGGAAGGTTGCTGGAGAGATGGCCCTTCTCTTCCATGTCCACAAATCTCACTGCGCACTAGCGCCTGTAATGCCGGAGCAGTGGGTGACAAGATTTATGTGTGCGGATATTACAAAGGAGCAGGTAAATCCTACAGAAAATAAATAAACAATGTCAAATCAAGATTTAAAAACAAATGTAAAGGTGAGGTAATGTCTGATGTCTACCTTTAGATCGCTATGAGAACATAACCAAGGATATTTTGGAGCTGGACCCATGGGAAAACCGCTGGACAGTGGTGGCTCGACACACGCAGATGCACGACAACTATGACGTTTGTTTAGTCGCAAAGCTGAACCCCAGGGGGCTCATGTCCCCTCCTGCAGACTTAGTGAGAGTGTGACATCCTGGTTAGATTAGAGTTTTTGGAGAGTCAGTGAAAACATGTATCCATCAATGCACTTATTGCCTGGTTAAAGATGTTCATTTATTTTGGAGGAAGAAGTTGATGTTTTGCACAGCATTTATCCCAAGCACAAGATTATATTTGTAAATAGAAAGCTTTCGTTGTTTTTTTTTTACTTTAGAGTCTGATTTTCACACCAGAGACTTTTTGACAATAAAAAAAAGTTCCATTTAGCTGCTTTTAATGTTATAACGTTTGTCCTAGTGCTTTCTCATAGCAACACAATTAGTCTGCTGTGAAGAGGTTCCAGTCTCTGACACCTGGTGCTGCTAACTGTTTTATGAGTGACAATGGAGAGCTATCTTCAAATAAAGGACATATTTGTCAAATTTCAAATAAGTTTGTGTTCTAAATTAAAGCATCGTCACTGAACAATGTAGCTGTCATTTTTTTTTTTTTTTTGGAATGTCATCTCACAGATATATGCAACTTCCTATTATTTCCAGCAAATATTTTCCACAGCTCTTCCTACTTTTATCCAAAAAAAGCTTAAATTATGACAAATGTATATAATAATAATACAAAAAACACACAAGTAAAATAACCCAAAACATTAAAAATTGAATTCAAACTCAAACAAAAAACTCAATTAACTGTTAACAATCAAAGTTCTTGTCAAACAACTGCCACAAGCCTTGTGGTTTTACTGTGGTTTCTGATTTGGATTCAGCTGAAAGCTTATCTAACATGCTTTCCACACTTGCCAACATCACAGAACTGTTGCTGTCCTGAGACCAGCAGGAAACAGGGTTGAAGAAACAGCCTGAGGTTTTGTTGCCCTTCTCTCTGAAGAAAACTGACTGATCTATACTCTCCTGGCTGGTTCCTGTCTTCCCATCACTGTGCTCACAGACAGGCACAGAAATATTCTGTTCTGAGTAGCTAATCGAGAATGAAGTACTGTTTTCATCCGGCACAGTGAATTTACTAGTGTGTGGAAGTGCCACAGGTTTCTTCCTGAGTCTCTTCTGACCCCTTTGTGTCTTTTTCCGATTTCTAAAACTACAGCTGAGCTCCTGAGGAACGTTCACCTGTTTTTTCTGAATGACACTATTTATCGACTGTCCCAGCACTGGTGATGTCTGTGTGGTGCTGTCAGTTACCCTCGGAGGACTGACTCTAGATGCCTGTTCAGAGACCAGGTTGTTAAGCAGCTTTATGGCCTCTTCAAGCATGTTTTGTTCTCTTTTCTGCTCTTCTCTTAAGCTCTCAGTACTAGTTTTTAAGCTTTGCAAACTCGAGCCAAGTTCTGCAGTGGTATCTGCACTCTTCAAAAAGAAAAAAATGATTTTAATTTATCAAAGTCGCTTAGTCACCAAAGTCTATTTTTTTAAACAAATTCTGTAATGTAAAAGCTCTTTACCTTTCTCAAACTTTCTTCAAACTCTGTCATCGTCTTACTGTTGGAGTTTACTTTATCTGCCAGAGTCCTTATTTGCTGGGATATTTCACCCTGAAGACTATTTAAATCCCTCTTCACTATGACGGACCATAAAAACAAAAATTTAGATGAGTTTGATTTACTGTTAATTCTTGGGGAAAGAATACCATCTAGTGGTGGAAACGAATTATCGCCTATTACTAAATATTTGATCTTCAGGAAACTTACATGATTCCAGGACGGCTTGAGACACAGCGGTATTTCCTTCTGCATTAGTGACTAGATGTTGAATCTGACAAAAAAAACCAAAAACAATATCTTTTAAAAAAATGACATATAATGCAAATAGGTCATTTATTTTTAAAAAACAATATCTTTAAAAAAAATGACATAATGCAAATAGGTCATTTATTTTTAAAGAAAGTCTATTATTGCTTACATTTTGGAGAATTTCTTTAGTTTCTTGGTGTTCTTTAGCTAAAAGAGCGCTGTTGAACATATATATAAATATACACAGGTTATATACACAGGTGGAAACAAACACTGACTAGTTCATGGCCTTTTGTAAATCTGGCAGATACCTTTGAAAGTTTTCCTTTTCTCGTCTCCTATCTTCTTCAAATTTTTCCAGTATTCCAAGTGGTCTGGTTTTACCCCTCTCTCCAAACAGAAGTGGCTTAGTTTGGTAACAGTTGGAAAACTTTGGGTCACTTCCCTACGAAAATATACAGTGCTCAGACATATTTGTTTTCCAACAATTACTCACACTCATCCACCCACACAAACCACCCTCCCACTTAAACACAAACAATATCTATAGGCATTCATGCAACACTTAATAAGAATTTAAATATGTACACAACTAGAATTTTCTATAACTATATTAACTATAAAAACAGCCTTGTTATATACCAGGAAATGGATGAGGTCAGGAAATAGAATTCATAACCAAATAAAGCTGGGCAATAATTCTCACATGACAGATAAATATGGATTAAAAATAACACGATGACAATGAGAACATTCAGAAAGTCTTAAATTACATTTTTAAACCGCAGTGAAGAGTATAGTTTTACCTCTTGTGAACCAGAAGAGAGACTCACATCCTGAGACATACTCTGTGAATTATTAGGCCAACATTGTGATCCGAAAAACAACTGCGAGTCAGTGGCACTGGAGTAACCACTGGTAGGCCCAATCCTGTCCATTGTTTTCTCACCACCGTGTTTAATAAGAGAAAACACAAACATTAATTTGTCTGTGCAGTAGAAACAAAAGGTTTAAGGCTGTAAATGTCCAGCAAAACCCGAGTACGACCACCAAAATGGCAATGTCCAGCAGATGTCATTTAGAGACATCGGTTGGTCATTCTACGACAAACAAAACTTTACTAGGCCAATAAATCGAGAATATTCCACCTCAAAAACTGCATTGTTTTCCGACAAAATTAATAAATTCATCTCACCCGCTTCCAGAAGGGGCGCTCAGCATCTCTTTTATGTTAATAATATGACTCATTGTTTTTAGTTAGCTGTAAAAAGAAATAATGAAAACGGTTTTATTAGAAGCTAACAATGCAACAGGGGTTTTAAATCATGCTAGTTAGCATAACTTAATAGAGGACACTGGTTTAGATTTATTTCACACACACGACAAACACGGAAAAACAATTCCGTTCAAACGGCAACTTATTAAACATTTGTGTAGATTATTAATAGATAATTAATATACATTTCATACACAAACGCACCTGGTTTTGATAGACGAACGACAAACATTTCAATCTCCCGCTTTTTGTCGTCAGTGAGCAAAGCTAAGACGCATTCGCGAAACGTCGAAATATTTCACTTCAACCACTATATAAAAACTTTAACAAATGTATATTATTTACTTTTGAGCATTTGTCGCCTTATTAAATTGTTGTTTTTCCTTTGGTCTAATTTTGAAATGATGATATTCAGTCACTTTTATTTATGCTACTGAAACTTTCGATACATTTTGTCCGATTGGACTATATGTGTTGGTTTTTAGTATGTCCCCAAACGCATTACTTACCTGACGCTAAAGAGGCCTAGTTATTATTGAGTACCCAATTGTTTTTTTGTTGTTTTTGTTTTTGTTTTTAATCACGTTGTGTAGTTTTTATCGATGGTAATAGATAGACTGCAGTATAGATGTAGAATATATAAATATTATCGATGGTAATAGATAAATAGACAGCAGTATAGATGTAGAATATATAAATATTTTATATAAATATAAAAAGTGTTTTTCATCATTCTTAACATGCATAATGTGACGAATGTGGTGCAATGCAATAAGGGAATTATTACGGGGAAATTAGGAATGAATGTTATATAACTTATTGGATTGATTTTAATAAGGAACCTAATACGGGTAAATGGAGAATTAATGTTATATAACTTATTGGATTGATTTAATCACAATAACACAAATAAATTAAACATGTATGAGTTTTTCATTTTAGACCCACCTGTCACGAGGGGATGTACGGAGTTTTATTTTTTAAGTCGTACCCGGAAGTGCATGTTGTGAATGAACGTGAGTGAGTGCCTGTGACCTGCAGTGGAACATCATCTGTGTTTGTGGCACACCATCGTATTAATGACAATTCTGCCGTCAAACGTCAGTGACCGTCTGTCGATAAACGTTTGGCGGACGAGAGCAGACGTGGACTGAGAGTCACCGTGGAGTTTTCTTCAGGCCAGAGCCTGCTGTTTGTGTGGTGAGTAAACTTTTTTGTTGTTGTTGTTGTTTCTCTGCTGCCATGCGTGGGCAGGTCCTCTGATCTGTGGCTGAACTCAAGGACGAATATGTGCGGAAAATTGAAATAGATTTATGCATCAGAACTAACCCTGTTGTGGAACTTCCTGGTGACAGGTGTTAGCTGCTAAACACCTAGCCTGTGTCTGTGGCTGTGGCTGCATCCGTCACTCCACTCAGATCAGCACCTACTTCACATGTTCGTCTCCGAGAGCTTTGGTTCAGATCTTTTCTCTGTATAATCTGTTGCAACTGAGAAAATCAGTGGGGGGAAAAAGAAGTGAGTTGTAAACCGTGTGAGTACTTTCTAATTCGCTTGAATGAAAATCTCGGTCGTTTATGGTTTGCCTTGACTGGTGTGACATCGTCAGTGTTTGCGGTTTCAGTTGCCATTTGCTGTTTCAGAGAGAGATTTTATCACTTGCTGTGACGTGATTACTTTGTCGAGTATTAAATGTTATAGAAAGACAGTGGTTTCAAACATACACAGAAGGATGTTAACGAAAATACTTCCTTTAAATGTGATTATAAACAAAAACGTATACGTAGAATTATGTTATGCCTGATTGAAAGGGACATTTATAGATTGGCAGAGTTAAAGATACTGAGCTGAGAGTGGTCAGGATGAAGGATGACCAGATCAGAAGATCAGATGGTTTGGAGAGAAAGTTTTAAGTCATTGTATTGAAGAGTGAATGACAGTATTATTTCAACTTTCTACTGTGTTTTTTAGCAGAAATCTAATGAAACTAGCTGAGCACTTTCTTCACTATTGACTGCAGACCAACATAAAAAGTTGCTAGTAATTATTCACTAGCAACACATACACAAAAAAAAAAACACATTCTTGTTGTCCTCCTTGCAGTAGCTCTGTGTCCTGCAGGGGGTCTGCCCCCCCCGATTTGAGAACTCCCAGTCAACAATAGCTCTATGTCCTGCAGGGGGTCTGCCCCCCCCCCCCGATTTGAGAACTCCCAGTCAACGTGAGTGGCTCAAAGTTTTATGTTTTATCTCCAGGCTTGGACGATGGCCCTGTCATTCCTCTTGGTGTTGGCTGCCACCGTGATCCTTATCAGACCTGAAACACCTGTAACCAAGGTGAGATCCTGTTAACACACAAACACAAACATTTCACTTCTTTTTATTTATTTTTTTTACTTAAACCATCTGTGAATGCTGCCGTTTACAGGCCTTACATCAGAACCTGTTGGAATGCTGCGGTGATAAGCTGAGAGGGAACGGTTCATGTTCAAACGACACCCACTGTGAACCTGGTAAAAAAAATAAATTAAAAAACCATCACTATCTCAACACTAAGATGGCCGTGTCAGCACAATAATACAGACTGTGGTCTTTCAGGTTGTTTCTTGCGCGTCCTCAACAACAACAACAACAACACAGTTTGCATATTTTGCGACTCAGCATCTGTGGACCTGGAGAACGCCACCGTCTGCACCTACAGTACGGACCTCGGCAGTGTTTGGTGACTATTTTAGCCAAATAAAAAGCTTCCTTTTCCTCCGTCCGGCTGACTTTGGTCATTTCTCTCCACACTAGACTACACGGTCGATCGGAGGAATCACACAACTGTCACCACTGTCAACCCTACCATTGGTAAGATCATCTCACCTACGGTCATTTGACTAATTTCTGGATCCACTCGTATGTACATTTCCAGCTCATTGGTTGTGGTTGCGGTTAGCGCCAAGTCAAATACCCCACAGTCATGGCATGCTAATAACGACAAAGAGATTAACATCTACAGCTGCCACTCAGACTCCTCATCCTGTGTTTCCTGTTTGGTCTGCTGTGTCTGAACAGGAGGGCCAGGTGTGGCGGCCTCTCTTCTTCTGGGAACGCTGTTGATCAGCCTGTTCCTGATCCTGTCTGTTGCTTCTTTTTTCTACCTCAAGCGCTCTCGCCGACTCCCCGACATCTTTTACCGCCGCAACAAAGGTAACCAGTGAAACACAAGCGTGACGCCTGAGGAATGAAACCTTAGGAACAACGTCCCGACGCTTGAAGAGCGTGATGTCATTATTTTTTTTGTGTAATATTATCAGTTGGTTTGGCTAACCCTAACCCTCACCTGGTTGTTTTGCTTTTCCAGCCTTCATTTTCCAGCCAAGTGAGACGGTAAGATATTTCCTGTATATATTTTGAATAAAGTCAAACCCTCTCTGCAGTTGATGGAAATACTTGTATAAACAGTGTGAAGTTGTTTATTCTAATCTTGGCAGTTGTCATAAAGCTGTGCAACAATGTTTACACATACTTCTGTCTCCATGGTTGCTCTAATTCCAGGCCGTCATGATTCCCTCTTCATCAGGTAAGATGACTTCACTGACCAGCTTTGTTACACAACTCTTTTGTCAAACAGGTTATATTATATATTGTGTAATGTTTGTGACTAATGCACAGCAATCATAACAGAACCACCACCAGGGGGACCTGCTGCATGTAAATACACAAAAAAACATTTTCTTAAATAATCATTAATTTGCTCTGAAAAAAGATCAAAGCAAATCAAAAGGTTAGGTGACACTAATGTAACCTTTTTTTATTAGGAAAGTCCGATAATGTCGGCCAACCGATGTTATCGCTTGATATTAGCATAATTACGTAATATCGGATCACCGCTTGATATTAGCATAATTATGTAAGCAGTTTCTCAAAAAATATTAACGCTAAGTTATACTTAATTATATTTTCCTTCTTTGTCTCTGTTGAAGTGAGGAAACCCAGATACGTCAGAAGAGAGCGCCCGTCTGCCTCGTCAAAAGTTAACAGTGCCACCGTGCCGACGACGTCCGCTACTCAAGTGTTGAATGTCTGAGAGGAAGAGAAGGAAGAGAGAGGAAGAACGCTCAGGAAGGAAGGTAGAAAGACGGGAAGGCGGAGCGACCTTTGACCTGTACATACTACTGGTATTTTTATAAACAGATATTATAACTAAAATGTTAGAAGTAGATTCTATATATTGTCAGAAGAAGTAGGACATCGCTGGTCGGTTTTTATTTCCCAGTTCGTCACTGTTGCCATGACATTTAGAGTGAACTCTCAGGATCATCTCTCAGATTTTAGGTCTTAACACTGAAACATTGACCAGAGCCAAGTTGAGCAAAGTCGCCTCAGATTTAAGGCCAAGTACAATTTGCCTGGAATTGTTTGTTGTTGTTTTTTTTATTACAGATTTTACAAGATAGTAGGATTTTTTTTTTTTTTTTTACATTGGTGATATTTATTTGCAATTTCTTAATTGTGCACTGAATAAGTTACGTCTTGTTTGTTTGTTTCTCCGGACTGGGTTATTGTAGGAAGCGTAGCTTTAGCTTTTCCCTCTTCCCTCCATGATTTGAGTATTGATTTTGTGTTTTTCAATTACTGAATCTGTTGTTGGGTGTTTTTTTTTTTTATGACGTTATTTTCCATCTGTGTAACCATAATCTTTTATTACAGATTTAAGATTATTCCGTGCCATTAAAACAACACACAATATGTTTTGTCTACGATGTAACATTGTGTCATTGTGTACAATTTGCACTTTTACCCGGGGTCGTTAGCGGATGTTGGACCTTCAACCTCTGAGGTTGTGATGATTTGTTTGTATATTTGCCAACATTTTTGTCGCTTTGTGAATCTAACTTGACTACTGTTTGTTATGGCAGCCAAACGTCCTTTGATCTGAAACGGCTCGTGCCACGTGTGCCATGACTCGTACCTATATCTATATATGTTTATACATATACAGTGCCATTCTGAGCTTTAAATTCAGCCAGGGACATTTTTCCGGTAATGAACGAATGAATATCTGTGGCCTTTTATGTGCACAACTGAAAACATAGACGTCATTGTATCACTGACTGTGTAGTATTTTAATGTATGTTCATATCTTGACACCACGAGGCAGGGAAATATATATTTACATACATATATATATACACACACCATCAGTGACACGTGCCAGATACAGAGCAGTGAGTTTTTTCAGTTTATGAATTAAAGCCTTTTGTTCTCGCTGCTGAATGTTCCTGAACTAAAGTGGATCATGTACATATTATTTTATACAGACGACGCATTGTTTTGGTTTTGTTTTTTTTACGTCATGTAGAGATTGTTGTACGATTGTTGACATTAAGAATGTACTAAAGATGTTATCATGGTTGTTTGCAGAAATAAAGCACTTTTATTGTATTTAAAACACCGCCTGTCATATCATACCTTCACTTTAACAAAATAATATAAAAAATAACTAAACGTAAAACAGTATTGAGCCCCTAAAGGAGCAGGGGGGTTGCATGGTATCAACAGTTTATATTTGTCCACATTTGTTTTTTACTTGTAAATTATTTAATACTTTTGAAAAGTTTGAATGGTAATTATTACTGCCTGAACAGTACATTGATTTTTTTTTTACTGTATTTTTGATGAATGAAAACTCTCCTTGTGAATTCTGTGAGTGAAATGCCAAACTGTTGCTGAAGGACGTTTGCACAGGCAGCGACATGTGACCGGTCATTCAGTCCCGCTCTATTTATAACAGCTGAGTGCAGCGCTGCCGTCCAACACATGGGACACAAGGACAGAAAGACAGGCAGCCGTCAGAGCTGACATGTTGCTGCAGGGACAAAGTCATGGAACCGTCAACCTGGACGTCCTGTCCCCGTCTGCCAGGTAGGTCAACCATCGTCCACTACACAAACAAACAAACCACTACTAACCATCGTTTACCATCGTGTTTAACCAATCACAAGAAAATAAACGAAACTAAGACAAACAGCTGACAGGAGTTCAAAATGGAAAAACAGTTTTAACCTGAAAATTCACTCAGACTTAAATATCAAATTCTCAGGTAAAGAAAATATATTTAGTGTTTTCAGCGGCCGTCTTATTTGTGTTTGTTTCGTGTGTTCTGTTTGACATTGACACCTCCAACACGCTCTGATCTCATTGGTCCAGAGGACAGGTTACTGCCCCACACGGTCACAGAGCTGCTCTATCTGTTTCTGTTTTTGTATTAAAAAAATACAAATTTACTAGAATTTTGCAATGAAGATTTACATTTTTTTGTATTTGTTTGTTTGTTTAAAAAATAAACAGCTCATCAGTGAGAACAAATGTTTTTTAAACGAGAACGAGGTTTTGTTTACTTTTCTTTTTGGTAAATTATCAACTTCTGCAGTTTATATTTAACAGTATAATTTTAATTTTATACAGTATAATAATCTTAAATTATTAATAAATTGTAGCAACTATAGTGATCTAAACAGGGAATTTCCAGACAAGTGTAACAGATTATTATTATTATTCTGACAGACTAACAAAGTACAATCATGGGATATAAAAACATAATAAAAGCATGTGTGTGTGTTATGGGATATAAAACATAAAAGCATGTGTGTGTGAAGCAGCTACAGTCGGTTGAACCCTGGAAGCTTTGATATCAAGTCATGTGACCTGCTGGGCCGCCTGTTTACCGTCAGTCTGTCATCACTGATCGTTTCTATTCCCTTCCAGACTGAGACGCTTGTGAAACGTCAACATGGATGACCTGGACCACAGCATGCACATCGCAGAGTTTGACTGGAGCAGCTTCTGTGACGACAGTGAGGAGTGCTGTCTGCTGCAGCCTTCGCTGGCCCGTCCAGACAACCTCAGTGATACGGACGATCCAGAAAACTCCGCCTCAGGCGTTAGAGCAGACCAGCAGGAGAGTTGTGTGGAGCGGTCAGAGGAGCTGACGGACACCGCTGCACACGTCCAGGAGGAGACTCATGACGACATCCCAACCTCAACGCTGGAGGATCCTTCCCAGGAGAGTCCAGGAGATTCCCAAACTCCCGTCAAAGAGGATGAACGCGTGCAAACACAAAGTGATGAGAACTCCAGAGAGCAGCCAGATGTACTGAGTGTCCATGAGACACTGGCTGCAGACAGGCAGGCTGTGGGTGAGGACGGAGGAACAGCAGAGAGGGAGCGCTGGTTCGTGACAGTCAATTACTCTCCAGCACGACCTCGCCCTCGTGGCCTTTCGGTTAAAAAAAAACGAAGACAAAAAAACTCTTCTAAAAGCAGACGCGCCACGAGCTGCAGACCAGACAGGTGTGACAAGGAGGAATCAGGTGAAGGACGGAACAGAGAGGAGGAGGAGAGGAGGGGGTGTCAAGGTGCTGAGAGCGGCTCAGATCTGTCAGAAAAGGAGGCAGTGAGAGCAGGAGACCAACCCCCAGGGGGCAGCCTGGCACCCGTCGGATCGTATGAGACATTTACAGCCGAAGCCTGCTCACAGGAGGGGAGAACGGGGGAGTCACAGGAGGTCTCCTCCAGTCACACCTGTGACTCAGACTGCTATTTTTCTGCTGCTGAATCAGTGGGCGACACGGAGCATCGTCACGAAGAATATCCTCAACTTTTGGAATCCACAAATCCTCCGCGCCGAGCGTCTGTGTTAACGCAGGATGTTAAACCACAGCATGGCAGGTACGAGGGCACGAACGTCGGCCTCGCCGTGACTGCTCCATCTGCTGATCATAAAGTCCATAAAAACCCAGAGGACTTCTCAACGAGCGACACCAACACGAGCGGCGCAGAGCTTCACGGGTGTTCAGAAAAAAATATTCCAACATCTGTGAGAGATGAGCTCCGTCCTGGTACCGATGTAACTGGGACACCGTGTTCTACGGCAGACGACCCAGAAGCACACGCTCAAGCTGCGGGGCCGAGTCGACAGGTGTTCGCAATTTCTGCCTTTTGGGACGAAATGGAAAAACTGACCATAAACGACATTTTACACCTGAGGATGAGTCAGGATCTGCCTGAGAGCGAGGCACGACAATCACAGGCCGCAAATGTCGACGCCTCCGTGACCAAGGGCAGGCTGATCATAAAGTCCATGAAATCCCAGAGGACTTCTCAACGAGCGACACCAACACGAGCGGCGCAGAGCTTCACGGGTGTTCAGAAAAAAATATTCCAACATCTGTGAGAGATGAGCTCCGTCCTGGTACCGATTTAACTGGGACACCGTGTTCTACGGCAGACGACCCAGGAGCGCATGCTCAAGCTGCGGGGCAGAGTCGACAGGTGTTCGCAATTTCTGCCTTTTGGGACGAAATGGAAAAACTGACCATAAACGACATTTTACACCTGAGGATGAGTCAGGATCTGCCTGAGAGCGAGGCACGACAATCACAGGCCGCAAATGTCGACGCCTCCGTGACCAAGGGCAGCTGTCTGGCCCACAGTGGGCAGTGTTCCACGCCTGACGTGGGTCTCACGGACCTGTCAGACACGACCGACTCAGACTACTTCACACAGGCTGAAGAATCGAAGCCCGATCGCTCCAGCTGTGAGGTCTCCACCTCGGACTTTGAGGACGAGGGCTGGCAGTTCATTCAGGAAAGAACACGTGACTTTCCGTGTTCATCGTCCAAGGAGGAGAACGTGGGTGAGGAGGATGAGGAGTCGTTGAGCTCTGAAGAGAGGGGGACACCTGTAGCGTCCTTTGAGGACTTTTCAGGACTGGGTTTTGAGGATTGGGAGTCTCACACTTTGAGGCCTGGACTGATGAGAAAAAGCAAAACGATGTCTGACGTACGAACGCTCGACCAAAGGAACTTCAGTGATCCTTTCAGTGACAACAGACTGTTTTTCAGTCGGTGTCAGTCTGTGGAGGAAACTCTGGTCCTGGAGGTCAGCGACAGTCTGGACACACTCACGTCAGCATCCAACTACGACACAGATGTCCTGGGTGAACAACAGCCAGAGCTTTGGGACAACTTCTCCTTGGATGATAAATCCAAACTGCAGTCCTGGTGTCTGGATGGTTTCGGTCCTGGAGATCTCTCCGTGGTCCCCGTGTTTGACCACACTCTGAGGGATCAGGTTTCAGTCTCGGTTCTCCTGGACTCCCTGTGGAACGCAGACCAACCCGTCCCCATCTTCTCCTGCCCTCAGTACGTCAGAGGAATCACAGTTCCCAAAATGTTCCCAAAACTGAAGGACGACTTCTCTCCAATCAGAGTCGTGTCCGGATCGCTGACAGGAGCCAGAGGTTGGACAAACAGCTGGAGAACTCCACTGTCCGCGAACAGGTTTGACATGTCTGACGTTCTGACGGAGGGACACGTCCCCGCTGCTTCTCCTCTAGTGTTCAGAGAGCCGACGGCACAGCGCCACATAGTGGAACTTAAAGAGACAGCAGGTAAGTCTGAGATGTTTGGATTTGAGACGCATGACACAAAACTGAAGGAATCCTGATTTGTTGCTGTTGCCGTTAAGTCTTTCTCAGAGGACACCAAGGCGTCTTCTCTGCGCTGCAGCAGTCGGACATGTGCCTGCTCTGCATCGCCTTCGCCTCCTGGGTGCTGACGTCCTCTGACCCAGAGAACGCAGACACGTGGAAAGCAGGTGAAAATCCTTGTTTCTCGTTAATGAACGCGACTCCTGACGTCGACCTCATTTAGAATTAAACCTCTGACTCATTCCCTGTTCAGCTCTGCTGGCAAACGTGAGCGCCCTGTCGGCAATCCAGTACCTGAGGCACTACGTGAAGAAGAGGAGACCTTCACGAGAAGACCCCCGATGAACACCGGTCACAGCAGACAGTCATTCCCAAAAACCACTGAACCAGGGTCCAGCCGTACAAACACCTGAACTGTGTGTGTTTTCATTCACTTCCTGTAGTTCCTCAATAATTCAACTAGTTTTAAGGCTCACATCATTTGGGTTTTCATTATCGGAGGAAAAACCGAGAACATTTCTTTACAGATGTTACATAAGTCTGTTACTATCAGCGCTACTTCAAAATAAAAGACCTCTTATTATGGACGTGATACTGAACCATTTATGCTGCTGTGATTCCCACATGTATCTGTATCATATATATATATATATATAATTTTATTTTCACTCATTTTTACTTTATATAATGTGGTTTGTGAACACTGCTGTAATTGAACTCTGAACTGATGAATGTAGGAAAATAGGTAGAAAATCGTATACGAGTAAAGTCATGGTGTTTGTGTTGGATTTGTGTTTTAGGAAACAGATCAAATGGAGTGTGAACTGTGACTCAGTTTAACTTTTAACCGTTCGTGTTAATGAATAAATGAAAATTGTATTTTTGAAAAGAACATGATGTTCGTTTTTGTTTTTTAAATTACAAACCAACACAAATTAATTGGTAACAGTTGTGTTCAACTGACGGCCTCAGGGCAGGGGGTCAAACTCAGGGGCCACATACCACCAGTTAGATGTCCAGTGGGCCGAACCAGTACAATGAAGTATAAATGTAATTAAAAAAAAAAAATTACATGAACAAAAAAGTTTTTTTTCAAAATTCATCTAGTGGGCCGGATTGAAACCCCAAGCGGGACGGTTTTGGCCCGCGGACCTTATGTTTGACACCCTTGCCTCAGGTAGTCACTTAAACAATTTTTTTTCTTGTCTAATAATTCAAATTAATTAAGTAATCTAATTAATGTAATAGTCTAATTTTAACAACTCAAAACAGACAAAATTTCACATATACTGTATGATGATTTGTTTGTTGTGTTAAAATAATTAAACTGTTAAAATAATTTAAAAAATTGTTTGTTGTGTTATCAAAATTAAACTGTTAAAATAATTTAAAAAATAAATAAATTCAGCCTGTAGCTCAGCGTCACACACACACAACACGGGCACACGTTTACCGAGTATCACTGCAGAAATATTTATTGAAATAAATATGTTATGCATAATTTTTTTTTTAATACTATATCACATAAATATTGAGTTTGAATGCAGTTTTTGAATATTTTCATTTGTAGGTAGTTTTAGTTTCTCCAATTTTAATGTTGTAAATGCACTGCTGCTGGTCCAAATGACAGTTAAAGTATCTCACAATAAAACACTATACTGTATATTGTTTATATCACGTTTTATCCTGCTATTGTGCTATGGTAAACAGTACTCATTTGTACAGAATATAGTGAAGCTGTGGTATTTACAGTCTCTTAAATGAGGAAATAAAAGCTGAGGTTATACTATGAAAGGATATTTTTGATAAATACAAATTTAGAATTCAGACAAATATTTAGCAGATTAAAGAGTAAGAACAAACTTCTACTACACTCTCAGAGCCTAAAAACTACAATGCAACTCACTACTCTAGTTTGGTGAAAACTGAGTCATGCTAGTTCATTCAAATACATTTTATACAGGAAATCACTTAGAAACTTTTTAGGGCAACAAGTATATTTAAACTTTAACCACAAAGTCAGTCTGTTTTCATATCCGTTAAAAACTGCACCGTCGGCGACTTCTAATTCAAATCAAGATTTGGCCGTTTTTATCTCTCACGTGTGACGGTAACAACCGTCTCTGATTCCACTGCTGTTGCTTCGTCGATATGAAAATCTCAAGACGGACTTTGCGAATCCCAGTAAGTGCTAAATAGATTGTTCACATAAAAGTATTCCACAAAGTATCTCTCTAAAATATATTAAAACATTAAAAAAATGTCACACAAATATGTTCTTACAGTCTCAAAGGTACACAGTATTGGTATTGGGTATAAATGGGTTTTAGGTCATGCACCACCTGACACTCACGATGGCTTGTCACCTTCCTTCTTCAGACGGCTGTGGACGGAAGGAAACAAAAACCAGTGAGTCCAGTTTGGTTTGAGCAGGAAGTACCACAGAGTTCACACAAGAGAGAGGAAGAAACCGTGGTACTACTACTACTACTACTACTACTACTAATAACAACAACAACAACACTGGATTAGAGAACATTCATACTTGTTCTTTATCGACCCAACCTGCTCGTTTCATTGCCGTTTCTGGCAAAATTACAGTGATTTGTTGGTGCTGAGACTCTGCATCAGGTGCAGAAGAGGTTTTTAGAAAAAAATAAAATAATAATTAATAAATAAAATAAAAATTAATCGATGGCATGGTCCACTGTAGGGACTTTTATCAGCAGTAGACTATGGACAAAAAAAAAAGGGAAATTCCAGAACCCAGTAAAAAGGAATCTCTGTATCGATGTGGTGATGTTGTCTTCAGAGTTTGGTGTATGACTTAATACCAACGATGGAGGCACCAAACATCTGCGCAATGATGCAACGAGGCAAAGGCTACAACAAAGACAAATAC